TCATGATCCTGGAAATATAGCTGTTATAATATGTACTTGTTAAGATCTTCCAGCTGATCTTGAAGATCAGCTTCACTTAGGAACTGTCTCTATCTTTGCCATCCCCCAAATAGTAAGGATCATCCAGTGATTACCCTCATAAAAACATCTTAAAGGCGAAGACTTGAACTTGATAAGAGATAACATTACCTCCAGTGTAGCACTAAATGAGCAATTTAGTGAAATGGTTGAAATGCTTCACCCTGGTATATTCCTCTGGACAGATTTACACTCAAAGGTTCACTACTAATGCTGCAAGTGCAGAAATAGAGGGAGAAAAATAAAGGAAGAACTAAAGGAATCAATATTAATAGATGAAGGTTCATCAAAAATGAAAACTCCCCCAATAATGGCTACAAGCATCCAAAGGGAAAAATACATCCCTACTTAATTCCATTGATTCTCTGTCTGAAGCGAAAACCACAGACTACTGTGTCCAAGTTTCTGAAGATGCTAACCAAAGGCGCAGAGAAAGCAGAATAAGATAGGCTTTGCTATTTGTTCAGGCAATGAAAATAGAAAAAGAGGATAGAAATTTTCAGGTGTAATCACTCTAACCTTCTGAGATGTCTGTGTTTAGCACACTATTTAAACTTTGTTTAGAAAGCAGTAACACTTAACAGAGTCCTTAGGTGAAATCCTTGCCCAACTGAGGTCAATGGAAGCGTACAGGATTATAGAACAGTAGGCCAAAACCAAGCGAACCAAAACCACCCAAAGTGCCCTTTTACAAGGCCTCCAAACCAACCTTGGCCAGCAGAGTTTCCAGTTCTCTTATTGCTCTAGGAGGCAGGCTTTCTCCATTTCCCATAGGTCTCAAGTCAGGGGGGAGCAGCTTAACCAACTTCAAGTGCCTTGAATCAGAACAACCAAACTTATAGCCAGAAAACAAAGCCTCTACAAAGCAGATCAGGCTAATGCCTGAGGGTCCTGCAACCCATAGCTGCAAGTGTGGCTTCTGGTCCTTCTCTCTCGGTCAGCTTCTTTTTCCTGCTTATATAGCCCAGCTGCAGGGTGGGGCAGGCACTCCTTGACTGAGCTCAGGTTGCTTACCTGTAAGTGCTAGACTGTCCCTTAAAGGGGCATTACACCCCACCACAGGGAGTTTTGCCATTGATTTCAATGGGTGGGATTTCACCCCTTAAGTACATTGTGGACATTCGCAAATTCTTTAACTATCGTCAGTCTCACAGTGGTTGTCTGAAATAGGATTGATGCCACAGCTTCCCGATGTCATTTAATGAACTGTCCCAAGAAGACTGTGTCATTGCATAGACATCTGGTACCCTAAGTATGCTGAGTTTTGCAGTGCACAGAAGGATGATGTCGATCAAAACACAGCACACGTTTTACACAGCAAGAGACTCTACAGCAAGCCAGAAACAATTGAGGAATAAATACTGTACATTGATGTTTCGAATCACACAGCATGTGTTTTGTGGTTTCTCTTCATAAACCATTTAGTAACCCCTCCACTCCACTTCAGAAAGAAGAAGTGCTTTTTTCAAGATGGGACTAGTCCAGTCATGGGAGACCAGGAACATGTTGGACAAATCTGAAATTATAGTTGTACATTGACTTAGGGTTTTCTCTTCAATGAAGAGGATGATCTGAATTATATATCACTGTGTCCAACGATGATGGGGAAATTAACAAATTGCTCTATGCATTGAGCAGCATTAAGAACAATGGAGAATCACACCTAAGCCCCCCAAAATGAGTTTTATGTCAGAACATTTCTGTCAGCCCAGATTATGGGAGTGCTGAGGTTACTATTAAACTCAGGTCTCCCTCAGGGCCAGGGTTTTTGCTCCAGGCACAACATGCACCTTATGTCAGGGCTTTCCTGCTACAGAATGCACCACAAGCAAGAATGACACATTCAATGGATTAAAAACCACTTCAAATCATGTGAAATGTGACCAGATGTAACAAATATTACCACATGTACCTGACAAGCCATTCGTGAAATGGCCTCATGACTGTCTGCAGAGTCCTGCACATGAATTATTCTTGCACTGCCCTGGAATAATTGATGCAGCTGATGTGCACAAAAATCTGTTCTTTCTTTTTAGCTTTGCTTGTGAGTTGCAGTAGGTCTAACATTACCCTTGCCCTAGCCTTTTAAATAACTGTGTGGAATGCCCCTGCCAAAAACAAGACACCCCTCTCCCCAAAATCTTCCAATTTTGTGCCTGTCAGGAATTGGGCACATTTAATCAGCGGTGTGTTTCCATTTCACAACTAGTAGTATGTTCCGACCACCAATAAATGTGCAGCCCATCCCAGAATACGGCCATGTATATGCAATACATGTTGTCTATACTCTTTGGCTACCAAAAATGTTCTAATTTTTTATTTCAAGAAACAATAAGATAATGTAAAATACCTATGATACCAGGGCCAATACCACTAGTGGAAAAGGTTCCTTAGGACACAGGAAAATTATTTTTAAAAACAGTAATAGCAATACAGAGAGGACATTCTTGGAGTACACCACTCCAATATACAGGCAGCAATCTTCATAAAATTTGCCACTGTCCTTTTACAAAATCCAGTTTTTTACTACTACAGTACAAGGTACAAGTAGCCCAAAATGTGTTGTAGGGTGAAAGGTCATATATACTATTTCGAACACAGATAGACATTTTCATGTTTCCTTGCCAATACCTTCCAATCTGGTCCTGAATGTCAGGGTATTTCATTTGCTAAATTCAACTTGTCAACTGTATCAAATATGTACTAATCCTATTATACGCATCACAGTCCACTAATAACCATGTAGGAGCTACTACATCTTTTCCTCTTTGATCAGTCCAGATTTAGATACTGGCCAAGGGCAAGAACCACGAACTCTATTGGTAATTAGCTTTGGATGCATTTTGCAAGGAGAAGCACATTAGTATTAAATATTCAGTGTAAACAACATTAATCATTTTTAGGGCTTCTGGTTTGGGGATTTTATTAATTTCATTGTTGAGGGTTTATTTTTAGCAATTTTTGAGTTCTACTTAGATGTCAAAAATGGTTTTTTTGGGGGACTTTCCTCTGTGTATATACTGCATTGAGTAATATATATTATATACATTAGTCGTAAATACAGTACTAAGTAATCTCTCTGTTTCAAATAGTACTATGTTAAAGCGCACTAGGGAATGATTAGTGTGCATGAGCAGGATCTACCTAGACCAACTAATGTGCAACTCTTTAGTGTGCTTTAGAAATCACAGCCTCATAGTCCACATTACTGCTCCATGTAGACAAACTCTTAGGTACAAAAAACCATTTCCAGGGTTTTTCTGGTATTTACTGAACAAACATTGATGTAATTTTTATTTGTGTCAGGGCTGTTTTCTCGATGTTTATTGGTTAAAACCTAAAATCGGAAGCCTAATCATATTGTACCCTTTAAAGGGTTCTCAATTCCTGTCCATCAACCATGTCCATTTCTGCAGCAAATAAATTCTCACTCTTTCACTATTAGGTATCAAAATAAATTTCTCTATTGCCATTTACATTTGTGTTCCTGAATCTCTCTTATCCTAAGGTGGGACAATTTTCCAACCCAGGACTGAATTTGTGGATTGACAAGTGCAGTTGTCTAGTTTCCTTCTCCACCATTATCTTAGGAATGGCAGTGACTTCTTTCCTTGGGGGCTGGATCCTGGGACTGGCTCTGCACAGAGGAGGACCTTTGTGTTCATATAGATCCAACTTCAAGAGGGAGACCTTTGGGATGTAAATATTCACAATGCACCTCTTTACCCATCGATGCCCCATCACTGCTAGGTATACATGGGCATCAAGCAGAGGGATAGAAGCAGAGCTGGCTGGAAAATGGAATTTCCCTTCTGAGGGGAATGCTGATATTTTGAAACATCCTTTCATCCCAAATCAGAACAAAAAGTCAAAATTTAAAAATTTACTTCAAAACAAAAATTCTGAAATGACCTTGTTAACTGGGTGGCTTGGGCCCTTTAAGAAGGAACAGGTCCAGCCCACCCGTGTCTCATTAGCAGCCTCTGGATAGGGCCAGATAGTGGGCAGCTGGTCCTGATAGAGAGCCAGAGGGGAACAGGAAACGGAGAGAGGAAGCTGTGGCAGAGATTGCAGAGAGCAAGAAGCTCCTGAAAGAGACTATCCTTGACCATGGGGAAGGGTTTGAGCCTGGAAGCCAGAGTCATAGGGCTGAAGACAGAGCAGACTCCAGGGAAACAGATCAAATCTCCAGGCAGGTAGTGCTGAGAATGGCCTGCTAAAGCCGGGAAGAGCTGCAGAGAACAGAATCCAATGGAAATGGGATGTAGAGAAGCCTGACAACAGAGTTTTGTTTTCAGTTTTATGTCAGTAAGTTAGACCCTGGGAGAAGGGATACTGTTGGACCAAATGTCTGTGTGGAGTTTATTAAGGAGCCCTGAAGAAGAGAAACTGAGGCACAGTGCTGGAGAGGAAGCCCAGGTCACAAGGGGGTGCATGGGAGGTGGTTTCCCTGGTAACAAACCTTATTTAAATGTTTCATTTTGACTTTATCAATTTGACTTTTGTTATATTATAATTAATATACAAGTCAAAACATTTTGACTATATTATACATAAGCTGACATGAAACATTTTGATAATTTCCTATAAAATTTAAATTAAATATATATGTTCCTGTAAAACATTTTGAGAAGGGAAGAGCACTGGGCACCAGGATACTAAGGCAAAATATTATTCTTACAAAAATTGCCATGGTACCGTTAACATCCATAGAGAGCAGGCTGAACCTTGGCTGTTAACATTTCATCCAAATAACCCCACAAAGTAAATTGTACGGAACTCAGTTTAACTACCTTGAAATGAAACTTGCTGGGATTTGAACTTGTCGCTGCAGGAAAAGTAGGCATTTAAAATCTCAGCCCTTAAACCAGTAAGCCATTCTATAACCTTTAATAATAAAACGTAAATAGAGCTGTACCTACATTTGCCTGAGATTCGTCATGGCCGTTGATCTCTGCTAACTCCTTGGCACTTTTTAACTGCAAAGTTTAAAGAAAGAAACAAAACAAAAAAGCAACAAAAACAAAACAAAAATAACAAAAAAACGCCACACAAAGAACATTACTTGAGTATTTCGCACAGTTATCTTTGATTTATTTGAAGTAGCATTTTATAAAGCTTCCAATGAGAAAAACAGATGGAGCATATAATTCTAATGAGTTTTTGCTCAAGCCATTTTGAAACCAACATATTTAAGGCTTGATAAGTTTAGGTAGGGGGGAGTAAGGAAAATAATAAGACTGGATCATTATTTTTTAAATAATAAGATTAGAAAACAGTTTCAAGTCATAAAAAGTGTACAAAATTGGCTCTCAAGAAGAATAAATGATTTCATTTCCCATTCTTGTTGCTATTAATTTAAGCTTTGCAGTGTTTGCAAGTTGCCACTAGCTAAATAGTGTTGGCTTATGATTACTTTTGAATGACATATTCTGAGCTGTTTAAAATGTCAGAGTGCTCCTGTATATTGCCTTTGCGAGAAAGTATACAGATAACTGACACGGCTCCTGAGTATGATGGAGGAGGAAGAGATGTGGAACTCATTTATTTAGCTATCGGGAGGAAGAACTGGGAAGACACTGCCAATTTCACTACAGGTGATCTGAAGCAAAACTTTTTTTTTCTTAAAGTAAATGAGATTTTTAATGGAAATTCAGGATTACTTCATGGGAGATTATAAAATAGTCACTATCAGAAGATTGAAGAAATTACCTAATGATATTTTGGGCCAAATTTTCAAAGATATCTGCACATCCAATCTACGGATGAACCCACACAGACAGGTATGTACCTCTGCAACCTTCACATGCTTGCATGAACTGGGGATTTAAGGTGAGCATGCAGAACAAAGTGCATTTGCACTTAGGTGTGTGTATTTCTTTAAAAAATGTAGGCCTTTATTCTAACCTATTCAAAATGAGAGTGGGGAGTAAACAGCTCTTTCTGCTGTATGCCTGTTTTTACTAAGGAAGTAGCAGTTGTTATAAGAGATATCTTTTCTACCTAACACAAATGCTTTATTGTGTGAGAACAATCCTAAAATTGTGGTAAAAATGGACACCAGTATGTTTGATTCTGAACAGATGCTATTTATAGTTAGAGCAGTCCAATGCATTCCATATGAATGTGGCACCACTTCCATGAAACGACAAGCAACCAGAGCCTTAGGGAAAATGGCGCCCTGGGTGAAATTGTATTTTGGGGCGCCTTGCTCCCCTGCCTCCCCATCCATCCTCCACATTGCCCCTGGCTCCCGCTGCTTCCCTGGACTCCCCACCCAGCCACCCTGGCCTCTGCTGCCTCCGTGGACTCCCCAGCCATCCTCCCCATCACCCCTGGCCCCTGCTGCCTACCCCAGACTCCCTAGACCTCCCTCATTCCCCGACTCCCCATTACCCTTGGCACCCTCTGCCTCCCCATCTATCCCCCCCACCGCCCATTGTCCCCACTTACCTCCCCATCTATCCCCCCATTCCCCCTGGTCCCTGCTGCCTCCCTGGGCTCCCCACTCCCCATCACCCCCAGCCCAGGCTGCCTCCTTCCCCCCCATTGCCCTGAGCTCCCTTCTGCAGCCTCGGACCCCAGGCCCACCCTGCTTCTTGGCTCTTGACCACAGTGCTCCCCTAACCACAGCACACTGAGTGTTTTCCCACATCACCCACCCATAAGGCTGGCCCTGCAAGCAACTCTAATACCACAACACTGCACAAATGGTCACTAGGAGGCAACGGTGTGAACAGTTGATTCCTTTCGGAGATGAAGAAAATCACTTCCACGAAGTCCCAAAGTTATGAAGTTTTATAATAAATTATATTCTGTGGTAACTCAAAAGTTAGTAATTTCAATCCTGATTCTGCACACTCTTAATGACACAAGTCATCCTTACTCGAGCAGTCTTGTTGAGTACCACTGGACTCCCTCACACGAGTAAGAGGTCAGAAGAGCAGGCTCTTGTCTGAAAGGGAGCTCAGCATGTTGTTTAAGGTAACCAGCTCATTGCTCAAAATAAAAAGGGCAGGGGAGGTTAGCTAATTTCATATGTTTACTTACCTTTACCCCCTCCTTCTTCAGGTTCACCAAGTGCAGCCACCCTACAATCACTGGCTATTACCTGTGTGATGCACAGCATGTATTCTACTGATGATTTCAGATTCACCACTGAACTATACTCTCACTCTGCTAGAGACTGGAATCTGTCTCTAGGTAAATATGTATACTAGACTTTTCCCCCAAAAAACTTTCCACCCCATGACCACCACTGGTAAGTTTCATAGAGGGTAACTCTAGTGTAGCCACAGCATTGGCAGTTGTGGCCATTTTCACCTCTGTGTCATCTGCTCTGAGCAGGGTTAGACAGCACAGAGGATAAAATGCTTGTGGCCACTGGTGCGTTGTCTACACTAGACTCCCACCATTGCACTGGGGTAGCAATAGTAGAAAATGTTAAGGAAAAAATGCCTACGTGCAGACACACAAAAAGGGTAACATCCCTTTTTTCCAATATTTTTTTTTTGTTTCAGTTTAAATTTTATTCTTATCTTATATCCTAAATGATATAATATAGTAACAGAAACCTTGGAAAAACATACAATATTGGAAAAAACAGGAGCTGCCCTACCCCAAAGGCAGGCTCTATGTTCAATGGCAAGTGTGGTTATCAGCAAAGAGCATGCGGATGCATCGCACTGAACTAGAGCCAGCAATTGCCAAGGGGCTACCCTTCATGAACCTGAAAGGAAAGCAGAAGGGTTACCACCTTAGCAGTGTACTGAAATGTCCATGGGGTTTTTTTGGGAGGGGGGCATTTGTTCTACAGGATCATTCTAGAGGTAATTCATGTGAAAAAATATACAGAATCTTTAAGAGTACCATCAAAGCCTGAATGTAATACAAAAATTTATAATACAATCAATCCAGTAGCCCCTGTGCTATTATTTTGATGTTAAATGTTCACATTTATTTGACTCTGCCCCTGACTTTCAATATTCAGCATGTCACAGATATTTACAATGAAAAGACATAGTTGCACTATGGTGGTTGTCAGATCGTAAGATCTTCCTATATGTTTTATAATATTTTGAGTGTTATAGTAAAAATATTTTAAAAGAATATTTTATAATGCTGTCCTTTTAATACTACTAACATATGGTAAAATTGAGACCTAAAATACCCCATATATATGTATATATTCATGTTTCCTATATACTATATAGATCCTGCAGGTCCCTTTGCCCATTTCTCATCTGAAGTTTTAGGTGCCAAAAAAGTTGTAATCAAATCCATTCTTCCTCATACCCTTTTGTCTAAGATGGCGTTATATCAGTTCACATTTAGAAAGTTATCTTTGCAACTGTAAGCTCTAGAAATATTTTTTTTAAGTGAAAACTTTATTTTGCAAAATCTGGATTGTCAGATTATAAAGTATATTTGTGCCAACTGCATCTGACGACACTTCCGATGTGCATAACTATAAAAATATATAAACATTAAAAAATTCCGAAGGATTTTTTAAAATTGTGAAAACCATAGACTTTTTGAATCCTTGCCATCTAAACAATTTACATCATACACTTCTGAATGTTTTTTACTAGATTACATTAATCAATCAAAAACCAGTCCACTGTCTACTTCAGCTAAGAACTATGGAGTTGTAACTACTGTCTCCACAATCAAATTGTCGACACGCAACATTTATTTGTATACTCTGTGTGTGTGGCCAACACAGTATTTCATCTCCAGTACTACACAAACAGGCACAGATCTTCCTTTGCTGTGCAACGATCCATCTTGCCCTGCGTATTAGACAATATTTTCAAATACACTTATCAATGTCATACAGCACTTCAGTATCAATGAAAGCAAAAATGAAACGATCAGATTTGCAGAGTATATAAAAGGTTTGCTTCTCACCACAGTTAGATAAGTGCACTGATGCACTGGGAATTTTTTTTTTAATGTCATCTTGATTCAGTCCTTTGTATACATGTGTCTGTATGAATAATACAGGAGATGCTAAACTCATTTTCCTCACTACTAGTCTTAAAAGAAATAGCTGGCTTTTTTTGAAATATGTTTGCTTTGCTGGTATATTGAATTCTCCCAAAATTAATTTGTTTTCAGATACAAAACATTCACACATCACAGGTATCTGTGTGGAGGAACATAACAGAAAATGTTATACAAGATGTGAGATTAAACATCTGATATTGCAAAACTGACAGAGTTCAATTTCACTTTGACAATGTTTCCCCAAACTATACTATTAATTAACTTCAACTAACCTTTGTATATGCTCATTAGATCACACACAGGTCACATAAGATCATATACTGATCACAATGAAGTCAATGGCCAAACTTCCACTGATTTCAAAGGTGCAGGATCAGGCCCTCCGGTGTAGTCCTAAATAAGGATTATGCTCAATGTAAGCACTCACCTGCTCCTGAAGAACTTTAAGCCTGGCTTGTGTATGTGTTTGTTCTTCTTTTGCTTGCTCCAGTTCGGATTTTTTGTTATTTAATTCTTCCTGTATACTCAGCAATTGCTGGGTAGGCGAAAAGAGTGTGATTAGCACCATCAGAATCTGAGCAATCTTAAATATTGTAAATCCTCACTGCAAGCAACATTTTTCACGTTATTTCTATATTTATTATTGTTACTAAGTCTGTTGTGTCTAAGTTGAACAAGTTGTAAATTACTTCCATCTGCATTTCCTTCCACAGCAGTACTACACAAGGAATGCATTTGTAAATGTGCAGTTAAGCTATTTGTTACACTAAAGCACAAACACTTGGTAGAGTATATCATCCACAGAAGGACTGTCACATCCATTTGAACAACAACCTTATTTGTAGAAGTATATGCTGTGGTTTTGACAATACTAGGGTAAACTCTACAGTACATGCGTAATTCACAAGCACAGCCCTTTACTCTAATTAGTCACTGGCCAAAAGCCATTTCATTTGAGGCAAAGCAATATTCTGGAAAGCGTTTGCACTTAGTTGCCAAGAAGACTAAACATTTCTTTTCTTCTCATGCTATGATGGTGATGTGTTATTAGATCAGCAAGACAATCAATCAATGTATCAGCCAAGAAAACTGCTGATGTGATCTCTCAAAACACAAAATGATGACCAAAAGATTATTTTTACGCAGAGAATTTCTGAAACGTAGAGACTTTTTGAAGGGCCTGGCTCCCCTCATCCTATCCAGCTGTAAGTCATGAACAGACATTGGGACTTGCCAGAAACTGGTCATTAGATTCAATTAATTCTGAAACTGGTTATGTATTTCTGTATAGAGAGGACAAGTACTAACTAGACCCTGCTAACGAGCAAGAAAATACAAGCAAGAGATTACAAACTGGTTTAGTATCTCCCCCTTTAGTAATCAAGCAAGGAACATTTATTTGCTGTGAAAACATGGTACTTTGATTATTATTTTTTAAAAAGGTGTGTAAGTTAACAAGTGCATTAGTAGCAAGAAACTTCAGTTACTGGTGTTATACATAGTAAACATTTAAGGCTTAATTTACCCAGGTGCATAGTACCCATAACTCTCTGACTTCAGCTAATGCTGTGGGTGTGTTTAGCAGGCCCTTTTAGTGCGCAAATTTTATATCATGTAGTTAGCAGTATTAAGCATCAAAGTTTCTTCTTCAGAGCTGTGTGAAACCTGCTTTTAGAGCTGTGTGGAAATGTCTGAAGCATCAAGGCTTGAATAGGGATTGATACAGAATTCCTGATGTGGATGACTACCAGCTGGATGGATTAATTCAATGTTTTAAAGGTCTCTGACACTGCCACTACACACACACCATTTTCCAATTAATTGTGCTCATTTTCCAGGGTGATTCAGAAAACCCAGAGCGTCACATTCCATCAGACAACGTATAGCCACATGAAACCAAACAAATAATAATCATTTATGAAACAGAACGTCCGGTTTATTAACATGCTAAATAGCTTACATGTTTATACAAATTGGGCCATCACTTGTATCTAAACTGATTGACAAAATTTGCATAGCAAGTGGAAGCAAATATCAAAAATGGTTTCAGTCCCACTGGTTCCTGGGCTAGACAGTCTACATAAACTTCTTCCTATGAACACTCCCAGACTTTTCAACCTCCCATGGTATTGCTGGGTCACCACAGCTAGATGGAAGTAAATTTTGATAAATCACCTTTTTATATTTGTGACTGCAATCCAAACTATAGCTAGGTTGCTTTAGTGCAGTGGTTCCCAAACTGTGGGCCGCATCCCGCTAGTGGAGCACGGAGGAACATCCAAGGGAACATGGTGGGGCTCAGGCCAGACTCCATGGGGGGGCAGGGAGGGAGTGCCACCAAACCCGACTCTGCCCCCAGCTCCGCTCCAGCCCCATATCTGGAGGTTAGTTCAATCAGGGAGGGTGAGGTGCTCTGCTAGCAGTTGAGGTGTGAACACCAAGGGAGGAGAAACTGCTCCAACTAGAGAACGAACCTCGTTATCTCCATACTGATTTATACCTGCCTCTGGAAATTTCCATTACTTGCATCTGAAGAAGTGAGGTTCTTACCCACGAAAGCTTATGCTCCCAATATTTCTGTTAGTCTTAAAGGTGCCACAGGACCCTCTGTTGCTTTTTACAGATTCAGACTAACACGGCTACCCCTCTGATGCCAGAATGGAGGTTTCCTGTGCAACCTTAATTCAGTCCCCATGTGTATACAGATTACGACACACTCTAACTACATCAGGACATTTTTTTCCCACAGGACCCCTGTCTCATTCTGTGTAAAGGATGGACGGCGCTCACTTAATGAGCAACTATTTGATATTTGGTTTATCCTCCCTGTTCAATGTGTAGCCATACGACTTATTTACCTCACACTATTCAAACTCTGCTCTGAAAGCAGAATTATCCAGCTCCTCATGGGCTTTTCCATGGTGCTCATCAGTACACATGTGAGTGCTTCACAGACATTAATGAATTTATCTTCAGAACATCCCTGAGAGGCGAGGGTGTAATATTATCCCCATTTTACAGACGGGGAATAGAGGCACAGATTAAGGTAAAAAATGTCCACACATTTTTGCGTGCCTGAGATGCTTCCTGGGGGCACCTCACAACCACCTGCCCTTAGCGTGAGGAAGCTTTGTCTGTGCCTGCTGTGGGTCAACTCCCATACTCCACTGGCCATAGGCAATACAAGCCTTCCTCTCTCAGTCTCGCAGGCCCCACTGTCACTCTACAGGTGAGTAACAGGCACATCCCAGTCCTTGAATCCTCCGAGTGTCTCCCTGGAGTGTCCAGCTCCTGGTCCACTGGACATTCATACTGATCATAGATTTGCTGCTTGCAAATAAACAGTAAACCCCAGTGTTCCAGTCCACCCCAGATCGCCCCCCTGCTTAACACACAGAACTTAGAGATAAGTTAAGTTTACTTAACAAAACATGGAGATTCAAGTAGTAGCAAGTAGAAGTATTGGAAACAAATGGTTACCTATGAAAACATAACATGCATTTTAGAGCCTAGACTTAATCCACAAAATAATCTCATGTCTTGTAGAGTATTGCTCACCCAAAATCCTTGCTACGCTGTACAGGCTGGCTATGACCTTCCTTCCATGACACGCTGTCAGATTGCCTGAGTGAAAGATTCCATGTGTTTCCTTGCACCCCAAGATATACCATAACAATCTTTGTTCATAAGCAGGACACCCCTCTGCAGTTTGTTCACCTTGAAATTTTTCTCTTTTGTAGATTTTGCAATCTTTCATTACACCGCGGCTTAGGATGCAAATAGGCATATATTGTGAGGCATACAATACACAAATGACCAGACAGGGAGATAGGGGTCTGTTAACTTGAAAATGTTCCTTTCAGGCAGCAGGTATGATAAATCCTGCTGATCTGCCATAACTCCAAGACCTTAAGAATATAATTTTTAGTATAGATACATAAGTCCTTAAATATTATCTGTACATACATTCACAATGATTACAATGACCCAACAGGCTGCTGGCTCTCATTAGAGACCTCACATGCCACATATCGGTTAACTATTATGCACATATCTGACCCGGGAGATCCTTTTAAAATCCTATGCACACCATTTGCCCTCTACCAGTTGGCATCATGGGGTCCCTGGTCATAGTGCCCCATTTGAGAAGCATAGGGCCTTATTTTCTTTTTGCAGCATTTACACTATATATGTTCAAAGCACAGTTCCCATTGACTTTGGATGCAGTTGTGAGTACTCGGCAGTTCTGCAAATCAGATTCCAAGCTGTGCACCCAGTAAATGAAGAACACACAATTAGTGACACCGTCTGACAAGTTTGGTGTACGTGACTTGCTCAGTAGGAGCCCTGTGCTAGACGCAGGGGTAGAATCCAATTCTCCAGTGTGACATTCAGCTGCATAACCATAAGACCATCTTTTCTCTTCCTGAAATCAGCCATCTCATTCACTACATGCCTTCCAACTAGAGCTGGGTGAAAGTTTTTGGCTGAAAACTTTTCATCAAAAAAATGCAGATTCAGGTCACTGGGCCAGGACAGTTTGTTAACCTGCCGCGTCTGCAGGTTCAGCCGATCGCGGCTCCCACTGGCTGTGGTTCGCTGCTCCAGGCCAATGGGGGCTGCGGGAAGCGGCGTGGGACGAGGGATGTGCCGGCGGCCGCTTCCCGCTGCCCCCATTGGCCTGGGACAGCGAACCGCGGTCAGTGGGAGCCGCAGCCAGTGGGAGCCGCAATCGCCCGAACCTGCAGACGCAGCAGGTAAACAAACCGGCCCGGCCCACCAGGGTAAGCACCCTGGTGGGCCACATGCCAAAGGTTGCTGATCCCTGCACTCACCAATCTCTGCCACTTGAGCCAATGGAATAACTGACAGAAGTAGTAGGTTGTCATCCTCTGTGTGGACCCAGCACCAGAGGGAGTGGATGAGACATGCACTTTGCTAGTGGGTTTCACAGATATTTGCTGACAGCAGAGGAATGTTGGGTCTCAGAAATCTTGGGTTCTTTTCCAGGCTTTGTAAGAGAGTGTGTTCTAGAGTACACAGACCCTTCTGCCTGTTCCCCCTAATCTGTTCCCATCTCAGTCCTATCTGTTCCCCACTTGTGGCTCCTTGTCCCAAGCCCATTCTCCAGTCTCCACTCAGGCTTCTCACCTCACTTCCAGTCTCCTTCCCCAACCAGTCCCAGTCTCCCCTCCAAGCTCACTGTCTGAGTCCCAATCTCCTGCTACCCCCAACTCCCAGTCTTCTCCTCTCCCCACATTCAGTCTCATTGCACAGCCAGTCCCAGGCCTCCCTGCCAGTTCCTCATCAAAAAATGTCTCCCCTGTTGTCCCACCCCCCATTCCTCGACACAGGTTCCCGGTCCCAGGCTCCTTGTCCAGCCAATCCTACTCTCCTCATAGCTCCTGAGCTGATCTCAAGGTTCCCCTTCTCCCATCACCACCAACCAGTTCCACGGGCCTTCTTCAGCTTCTTCCACCAGTTTCCTCACCATCTCCCAGTCCCTGTCTTCTTGCCCAACCATTAGCAGCCTCC